TCACAAGTATATTATAGACATGTAATACTACTGTATATTGATTTTACTTTTCATCACCTGTTACATAGAATTAAACTGATACTGGCTTTACTTTTGAGATGGCCGCACAGTATCTGTGCACCGTCCATATACAATACATTCAATGAATAAAAAAAGATTAAATTCAACAAAATATACCCTTTATTGAAAAAAATCAAACAAAACTATAAAAAAAAGAAAGAAACATTTATATTATCATTTATTGACCTGCTGCACGCGAAGCAATCGGTCATTTGAAAGTTTACTTTTCTCTTCTGTTAACAACCAAGAAGCAGTTTGTTTGTGTAAAAATTGTGTATCATGATTTAATTTCACTTTAAAATAGGTATGTTCAATTTGAGGCTCCACTTTATCAGCAACTTTTACTCGAGAGAAGTCTTTCTCTGGAGTATTTATTAAATCTTGAGTGTTATTTTGTTCATCTTCATCAGTGTAATCGTTGTTAATAGAGCTATCGTCATTGTCCTCATTCATGTTGAGATCATTTGTTGTGTCATCTCCATCTTCATCATTATCATCGTCTATATTGCTTATTTGAGAAGAGTAATTATGTTTTTGTGAATTGGAATTTAATTGTCGAAATAAATATTCACTTAAGGGTTTTAATTCAAGAACATGTTTTTTTCCAATAAGTTCAATATATCTAAACCTTCAAGCATATCAACAGCATGATGATAGGCATCAGTAATAACTTGTTCGATATCTATTTTATCAATTTCAAGTTGACTGCGTGTAAATGATGATTGGCGTTCAACCCGATGTTTATGATGAACCGAAAAGACTAACTTGTCAACTGAACCATTATGTAACTGTTTACATTTAATGTCATTCAATAATGATAATCTTTGGGCACGTCGTAGAAAATCATGTACTGTAAAGTTGACTATGGTTGAATAAATTCCACTTAACGCTCGCGTATTTCTAAAAATTGATTCACAAGCTTGCGAGTTAAAAAGCTTGTTAGCGCAGCCCCTTTGAGGCTAAAATGTAGAACTCACATATATCCCTTCGGCTTACTAAAATAATCCAAAATAATTCATCTAAAAAATCTACCCTGATTTCCAAAACCTATAATTAGATCATTCCCTATTTGCACTTATGCCTGTAATTGAGTATTAATTGTTAGCTCGTATATTTAACAAGGGCAGAGACTGGTTTCTATGGCCTGTAATGGGCAAATATTGCTTTTTTTCGTGTAATCTGTAATTGAAAAAGGAAGAAATAGCAGCCTAAATAGTCAAGCTCCTAATTGGCACAATTTTAAACTCATTAATGTCTGTAATGGCGAGGGCGGTGGGGAACCGCAAAAATTTCGCTTTTAAACTTATACTCACCATTTTCTTCGAAAATATATATGAGTTCCTCAAAAAATGCGCTTAAAAGTAGGACAAAAAATTTTGACCTATATATGTGGAAGATACGTACGTCTTCTACTACTAAATAAATTTTCTTCTTAAAAATAATACTTTCTGTCTCTTTTCCAATATAAATATGAGATTGTAAATCACTCTTTCCGTTACGGATGAGTCAGTTTTAATTATTAACTGGTTCTTAATTATTAACTGGTTCTTCTTCGTTGGAGGAATTAGAAGAAGACCGGTCACCGCACCAATGTTAGCTCGTCGTGTCCGAGCTTTACGTTTATTTTATTCAATCTATTATTGGTTTAACACACAGACACATATATATTGATATAAACAAAGATGAAAGAGAGATAGAGAGAGAAGGAGAAAGAAAAGAATAAAGAAAAATATGTCCAGGGTTATATACCTTTAACAACATGACAATCCCAGCTATATTTATTATTATAATTCAGAAAATTCAAATTTTGGTTACCCATTGGTAGGGGCCGTTGAAAATTTTCGAAATTTTAATTTATATTCGAACTTGAGTTAAGCAGCTACTCGCGTGCTTTTCAAAATTGTGTACACATTCATGAATCCAATACAATGCAAAAAATAATTTCAGAAAAAGAATATAGGACTGAAGACAAGAGAATTTTGATTACATTTTCCTTTTTTTTCTTTCATAGAGAAACTACTGGTAAAATAATACTCATATTGGTTGCGAAAAGCTTTATGTTGTCGCACTAATTTCTTCTTTTTATTTGAAACTCAGTGAAACGACAAGCAGTTGCCAATACAATGAATAAAACAGTAAGTGATATGATGGACGCCTCAGTGTGAAAGTAATTTAATGAAAATCAAATCGATTTAGGAGTACAGTGAGAAAAGGAAAAGCTTCTTGCAAAGACAATATTCTTTAGAAAGAAAAGGCAAGCCTTCAGATCACGACTACGATTCTCCTGATTTGGTGAACGATCGTACTAGCGTTCACTCAAAGTATGTTACTCACTTCCGGGAATGTTTCTGTCGAAAATGCTTTTTCTTTTCATAAGGGTGCTGAAATGGTTTAGACGCGCTGGTGCTAATATATGTTCTCCAAACTGTAACAGTCTTCTCATCGGCATGATAATTGGTTCGTTGGTAGTCGGTATTGCCTTAGCTGCGACTTTAGCACTGTTGTTAACTTCGGGTTCAGGTAAGCATTAATAGCTCATTCAGTTATGTTTTTCATATAGTAGATGTGACAAAAAAATATTTCTCACTCAAAATCGTATATGGACATTGCAGTTAATACTTATTCTCTGCACTATATATTTTCTGTGTTTACTGACTGAAATCTGCCACAAATATATTCTATAAAATATTTCCTTACGCAACATTAACGAAAATCATTGGCCGTTTCTCTAGCATGCTATTAATTTAAAGACACGCTCCCAAGAAATTCTTGTCTTGCTCCAGCGTTCCCGGACAAAGAATTCGACAGTCGAACCTCGTCCGTGCCGACAGTATTCTCACAATAATCGGACAACTTTCGACAGGATCCTATCGAGAGTTGCCCGATCATGCAGCAGACGGCTACAGGTGGTCGGATGCGATAGCTGGAAAGCGTCGGATAGACTCGAGATCCGATGGAAACCTGCACAGCCTTGATCAGAACATTTGACATTCTTTGACACTCTCTCCGCCACTCACTTTCTTTCTCTTGTAACGGTGTCCTACAATTAACATCCAAAAAGTTGTTTATTTTCATTCATTTTCAATGGAGATTGCTGAATAGCAAATTTAAAACGTCGGATATCTTAGGTCCCAAGTCGAGTATTTTTTGAATGGATTCGCTCCAAACAACTTTTCAAGTAGAACTCGACGACCTCTACAGAATACATACATTATTCATCGATACCATGCTCCCAATCTTGAAAAAAAAGGACTAACAGTGGTCCTACTCTCAGGTGTCCTGTGTGTGGGTTGTGGACCGGCGTCGGGGGTTGTGTGTGGGTATTTATATTAAACCACGCTCCACGCCAGCACCTTCAAATTCCGAACAGAATCAGTCGATAATAGATAATTTAATTAGATCATGCAGCAAGCTATGCGTATCATCGAGACGATTAAACTCGTCGGTATACACTTCAGAAACATTAAAAAATAAAAGTGTCTCAAACTTTCGCGGCTCACAGCTTATACCGCAGTTTTTTGTGAATATATCTTCATTCAGTCACTACGAGTACAACCACCACCATGTCGACAGCAACAACATCAACATCCACAACATCAACATCCACAACATCAACATCCACAACATCAACATCCACAACATCAACATCCACAACATCAACATCCACAACATCAACATCCACGACATCAACATCAACAACAACGACGACAACGACAACAACAACAGCGACAACAACAACAACGAACAGTAAGACAAAGTTTTCACTGCTAGCGCTTTGAATAATAGTTTCAAAGAAATCAAATTTAAAATATTTTGAAAACTATACTTCTCTAACTTTCGTCTACTTCATACAGACATAATACCCAGGCAGCTGATTCCGTCGCTGGGATCCGTGAATTTTCGGCGAGATTCTACAGGAAAGATACTCTTTCCAGTCGGAGAAGACCCGAAAATGGTAGATTCTTGAAAGGAGGAATGCAAACGTCATATCCGGTTGCTGATTACAGGAGATTCGAGTAGTTTTCGACCGATAATGCATAAATTTAGGGTGTGGGATTCCTAATAAAAATAGGCACTCTTACACTGATGTCAACATTGCACAACACAAAGTCCACTTCCCCACACCCACACCCACACCCACACCCTTTTAAAAGCGGAGACTTGTTCTCCTAAAAAACTTTTTCTCTAGAAGAAGTGTAGGGGTACCAAAACATGCTGTTTTCTTAGGGGAGGTGGTTAAAAAAAGTTGGAGCTAGGGGGAAAAGTGAGACTTCTGTACTCTCGAAGTACAATGGGGGTACTTGAAGTACGGGAGTCTCGCTTTTTCGCCCTTGAGTTGGAGTCATCAAGAGGGAGGCCGGCCAAAATGATGATTGATAGGGAGGAAGAGGGTTAAAAAGTATGTTTTTTTATGCGCCATCTGTGAACAGCACCGAAGTTTTCGACGTGTCATTCAATGTCTATGTAAGCCTTGTTAACGATAAATAGAGTTCAAAAAGTTACAATACATTAGTGCGCTCTGTACTACTGTTTAGCGAATAAGCATACAGCTGCTGAGCGATTGGTTTTCTTCGCATTAAAGCTTTCCTTCTTAGACTGCGCGACGCTCCCCAGCATAATTACGGCGTCTGGATCTTCATACAGTCAATATTACTGCGGGTCCGGCTTCATCGAGACTGACGCAAACCCTGGAAACACGGGTTCAGCACCATCCCAAACAATTTTCCCATCAAATGATTCTCAAGTCGTTGTCGTCCAAATGTGCGCGAATTATGCTATCGGTCTTCCGGGTGCATATTATAGTTTCCAGAGTTACTACGATAATTCTCAACAAGAATGGATTTGCCGCTGCTACTACAATGGCAATTTAAATCCATCCTACTTCAGTGTGGCTGATGCAAATGCTACGAACGTTGTGGGCTATTCCACCTGATTGGACAAGTGCACGTACATTAAGTACAAGTACAAAAACTCAATATTTCACAGCTGTACTACGGACTTCGTTATAGTGTGACTCATATATCTGATATATGAGTTTTTCTTCTTTTCTACTATTACATTGGCGCATTAGTTCTGAGAATTTTCTTTCTGGTTTAACAATAACTTTATTTTTCAATAAAGATATGCAACATCAACGAACAATATAATTGCCATTGTTTTCGACAACCTTAGCCCATCTTGCTGGCAATCATTCTGAGGGTGAGTTTATCAGAATAGATAGACTCCTAGCTACCATGACATATTTCACCGTAACAACGCGGATCATCAGATGACTCATGGCCAAGTGGAATACTAAAAACTATAGAAAAAATTCAATTATTCGAGGAAAGACTAACGAACCTGATTATTTTTTGTCATCTGTTTCCATTCTTTGTTGTCAATTTGAATGTGACTTTGCCCGTTGCTCTTCTTTGATGAAGTTTGATTGATTTTTTTCAATGGATTGTTCTCTTCGTTTGTACTGCATGTTACCTAGGAAGTCGAATAATGATACTGATTGTATCTGAGTGATAATTTTGGTCTGTTTCGTGAAAAGTATTCTTTTAGTTCGAACAAATTTAAGAAGTCAAATGAAATTCAAAATTCATATTCGATTTCTATCATTTTAATCAACTGAATATCATTAGTTTGGAAAAATCAAATTTATTGCTTTATGTTGATTAGTTTTTAGTGTTCTCGGTGTTTTAATGAAATGAATTTGAAAGTATTTGAATTCGTTTTTTCGAATGAAATTCTATAAATTGTTTTTCGAAATAATCGAGTGAAGTATCTGTTTTATAAGTAGTCTTGTTATTTATTTGATTGAACCTAATTATTGTTTGTATTGTTTGACTATCTGGTTAGAATAGTAGAGGCTTGTAATATATCGGAGCGTCCGTTTTCTGAAATTTATCTAGAATAAATGAAAAGTAAAGGAAATTTACGCCACAATGAAGTTTTTATTGGGTGAAAAACTTTGTACATCATTTAATGAGTAGCTGTGAACTATGTACAAAGAGCAATATTCCTGAGAGAAGTATTTTTTTCAATAAAGAAAGAGATAATTTCTTTGAATCTCAGCGAATGATAGTTGGATTTCCCGTCGATGTGTCATGAATGGGAGAACGTCGTTGTGATTGGTGGTCAGGTGGACAGGGCGATTGTCAGCATTTCTTTTGGAGGCCTCTTGTGCACAAAGAATTTTTCCAAAGTTGGATTAGTTTGCATTGCAATCTCCACTTCGACGTGCTTGACTCTCGAGTCTGGATGCACATAGTATTTTTCCACCACTTTGAGAATTCTTTTATGAAATGAATCGATGCTCCACTTTCGTATGTGTATTTTGGAAATAATTTCGATTTATTCCATGGCTTTTTCATCGTGGGATACGACTCGGAAGTGACTCTTTTCTCGGTTGACTGTTGTTTTTCACGTCTCGTACGTTGATAAAGTAGTTTTTGATGGAGCTGCTGGTATGATTCTGCATCAAGCTGTTTCAATACAGGCAAAGTATTGTTGAGGTCGAAGAAGCGATGGAATTGTTTCCGAATGGATTTCGGCGGATAGCCATTCAGTAATAGAGACATCTCGATATTGATACGTTCGATCTCGAAATCTTCGACATTTGAACACAGCCGAGCAACACGAAGCAAATCAGCGTATGGAATATTGAGATGAACATGATGTGGATGATCGGATGTATACGGAAGTACGTACGGTTCGGCAGATGGCTTTTGGAAAACGACTGTTTTCAATTGACGATCATTATTCTCGATAGCCACATCAAGAAAATCGACCGCAGACTTTACTGTATACGTGATGCGAATGTTAGGATCACTGTTATGAACCTTGTCGAGTTTCGCAATAATTTGATCTCGTGGTAAATTGGTTGCCATAAAATCATCATCAATGCATCTATTGAATAAGATAGACATAGAGTCACTTTTCAGAAATCTAACCTCCACATACCGGCCATAGCGTTCATCGAGAAGTTGTTGATACTCGACTAAAGGTTGTTCCCATTCGAACATGTAAACATTGGCCAATGTTTGAGTGAATGCTAATCCCATCGCTCCTCCCTTGGTCTGTTTGTAATACTTGATATTGTATGCAAAACAATGATTGCTCAAGATGACACGAGTCAGTCGAAGAATGGTATCAATAGAGATATTGCCAATTTTTCCATTCTTCAAGTGTTTAGCCAGGAATCAACTTAATCGATCGATAGCACCCTGACGTGGTATCATTGTGTAGAGATCAGTGACATCGAAAGTGACGAACAATGTCGTTGGTTTGAGTCGACCACTATCTCTGTATTTTTGTAATGCTCGAACAACATCGATCCCACTAGTGAATGTTGTTTGTTGAGCAACTTTCAAAAATACGGGTCCCAAGAGGAATTGAAGAAAGCTTGAAATACATGCTGTTGGTCCATTGATGCATGAACTGATCGGTCGTAATGGTGTGAGAGGCTTTTGAACGCAAGTAGAAAAGAAGAAAGGCTAAAAACGAGACTTTTCTTTTCAGTCGAGTGATTACCTTGCGTGACTTTGGTATGAAATAGAGATGGGCTAGGACCAACTTGTCTCGATGAGGATGTAATTCTTTATGTTGTTCTTTAATAATGGCATTCGATTTCAATAGTCGATTGAGTAAACTCACGACTTTTTGGAAAATTTCAGTCAATGGACAAATATTATTCGGTAATTCTTCATAAGTATTTGTTTTTGTCATGTACCCTAGTCAAACATCTTTTGGGATGCGCATGACATACTTGGTGATCTTGAGCAAGAAAGTCATGCGCTATGGACACATCTTGAAATATTTCTTGACATGCGGATAATAAGAGAAATTTTTGTAAAAAAAGGCATTCAAATCGAACATTTTTCTTCTATAAATGAGCATTGTTTGAAGAAAAAACGCTGTTACCTATACCAAAAATTTTTATAATCTTTTTGTGCACATGCGCATGATCTTCTTGAACTTTTTGGGCAAGATGGTCCTGCGCTATGGACACATCTTGAGTTCAAGTCTTGTCAAGCGCTTGAAAAAAAGTTCGGCTAGGGTATTCAATTGCTTTTCGTTGGAATTCTTCAACGAGGCCAATGTAGGGTAGATTGCTCATGTCTGTTTGTGTTATTAGAATATGTGGATTCTTACGCAATCGGCATTGAATCCTTTTCATCGTTTTGTGTTCTTGTCGAACACGAATGGCTAGCTTTTCAGGTAACGGTGATGTGTAGAGCCGATGAACAATCGTTTTCAGTTTCGCAAATGCTTCTTTTGCTCGTTGATCGGATGCGGATGCATGATTATCACTGAGGCAACCTTTGATAGCCGTGCATAAGGTGTCGAATTGCACATTGATGAAATCATTCCTTGATGGGCGACCAAAACGACTTTGACATGATGTGACATATTTGAGGCCGTTGTGTGGTAGAGACATTCTTTGTGATGAAAAGTGGAGATCGACTTGAATAAATGGTGATGAAGCAACGATATTGGTATTTAGAAGTTGGCTCCGACGGTGTTGGTGACAGCAAGGCCGTCGTCCATAACTACCGCCGGAGCGTCGACGAAAAAAGACTCGATTTGTCGTTGGCGAATCTGTTGAGCACGTTTGACCATATTCAATTCCCGTTCTTCAATGATATGGGTCATTTGTGCCGTTATCTGTGGGTCTTGTCCATCACTTTCGACTAACTTTTTCTTTTCGTCGGTGGCTCGTTTAGCATGAGATCGTGCCAATTCTTCTTTCGTGACAATCTTCATGGCCATAATATCGTATTTATATTGTGCAACCATTTTGGAACAAAGTGATGATAAACTAGCACATTTGTTATTGTCAAGCACCGAGTATGACAGCATTGTATCGACATCATCGGCAGATTGATGAATGAGACAATCGAATGCTTGTGGTAGTCGTTGTAAGTACACTTTTTGTCGAAGAATAGCGATTTCGCCTTCGACTCTTTGTTCATCGGCTCTTGCTTGCCAAATTAGTTTGGCAGAATGAATCTATCACAAAATGAAGAGATTATATTTAAAATAATGATCTATAAGTTCGAACCTGTTCTTCATTCAAGGGTACTGTATAGAATGATTCAACGAGTCGACAATCATTGGCATCAAAATTCAACAAGACCTGTTTTCGTTCGAATTCTGCTCACAATCGCTGTTGATCTTGGTTGGCCAAGGCAATGATTGCTTGCGACAAAGCATCGATATCGACGGCGATGGTATTGTTATTCAATGGAGGCCAACATGTAAATAGTTCCGTGAGATGTTGGTTCAATTCATTGACCACTTTTACCTGCTGAGATGCAGTCGTTTTTCGACGTTGTTCAACGAATTTTTGTGATCGACCATAGTTACAACACATATTATGCTCTCTAGCCACATTTTTCGATATTCGTGGAGCGCAAAGACCGTCGGTCATGCCCACATCGTAGTAGGCTTGCCATAGTTGTTATTACATTTGAATATAGAGTATTTGATGGACTAGTGTAGCACACCAACGAACGAATTGGATTTGCTCATTGGTATTCAATGTTCGAACTAGGGTGGGTGTGGGTGTTCGTCTTCTCTTAAACCACATCCCACACCCACACCCACACGCTCAAGTCTTCAAGTGATAGAATAATTGTGAAGAATCTTATCGTCCTATGCGATCGAATTATTATTAATTGAAAGTTTCACGTCTCTCACAAACAGTTACATATTCCATTGTGATTCTTCGTAAAATTTATACTGCGTCCTATCAAAAACATTTAATCTTAGTTATATAACTTTCTACATACTCCAAACAATATGATATTAATGGGTCTCATTTGATTGCTTCTTTGATCTGAAATCTTCGAGATCGTCATAGACGGTAAATCATTTGAGTTAGATAAATGATGGTAAATGAATGATATATATCAATAATGTCGGGAAAATAACTGTCATCATTGGATAATCCCCTGTGGTAAAAGCTTGAAGAAGTTTTTTGAAATCAGTATCCATTATATTCAATTGATATACCACATTTGATACTCTCGACAAATTTCGATTCTGTATCTAAACAAGTAATAACAAATGCTTATCGTAAGTGTGGTTTGATGCATAGAACAGATGAATATTTTGATAGACTTTGATTTTGTTTTTATAAATATTTTTTTATTATTAAGAAATTTTTAGATTGACAGTATCACACGGCACGTTTTGACCTCACTATATATCTTATCATATCCCTTTAATCGATTTGAGTTTCAAAATGAAAATTCGGCAGAGGGTTTTGTATTTAATGCTTTGATTAAAAAAAAGCATCAACAATAACTAATCTGAATGATTCTTATTTATTCCTTCTCTATATCAGTAGTCAAACTGTATTGAATATCATATATATATTTGATGATCTTAAAAGAAATAAAATTCATTTGATCGTCTGTGTAAATATAATCTACTTCGAAAATTTCTTTCAAGCTAGAAGAAAGAGAACGAGAAAGATAACACAACAAATTGAAAATTTCGTTGATTTGTTTTTCAACAAACTATAACGGTCTGCTTTAATGGCATTTATTCATATAACATTGTCAACACTGAAAGCTTTCAGCGTATACATTGATAGACTATCCTTATATTGATTTTGACTTTGAAAGGCAAGAATGTAAAGACAATGAACATCTTTACAATTTAGTTGCTATTTCGATGCATTCAGGTTCTCTCGATTTCGGTTATTACACAGCTATTGCATGGCACAATCCGGCTCATCAATGGTACTACTTCAGTGATCGAAACTATGAATCGATTGAAAATGTGAACGAGTTTCTTCTCAAACGAGAGGCCTATTTACTCATTGATGCAAAGAAAAATGTTTTAAAGTAATATAAATAAAAATTTGTTGAACAAAATCAATTACATTAATTGACAATACGAACATGATCTTTTTAATGGATGGTAAAGAGTACATAAAAAAAATGTTGCATATACATAGGTATCACACCTATTTTCTGGGCGTGGATGGGAGGTTATGATTTGTATAATTCATTTAAATGAAAAAGTAAATACAACAATTTCTTTGAATTCCCTTTGAGTGCTCTTATCAATTGCTGATGAATAGAATAAATCTTAGAGAAACATTTATCTCCTCTATCTAATGTAGAATATGAGACAAATGATCATAACTGGTTTCGACCTTTCTTAAGGTTCTCTCCAGGCGGCCTCTTTCTATTACATATAGACTTTGTTATAATGATGATGAGATCATAAACAAGATCTAGCAGTGTAACAGATATAGACATTTAAATATTATACAATATATTCCAGATGGAGAACATCATGTGATGTAGTTCGATATTACTAGGGCCTTTATCAGATATGTCAATAATCTATTACTAAATAAATCCAAAAGTCTAAATAAAAAAAAAGAAGTTAATGATAATATATAAGAAGAATTAAACGATGTAAGGAAATAGAAAATAGAAAAATAGAGTCTTATAGAAAAGAAGCACAGTTCGTTGTCGGTTTTCTTTTATTTATTCTTCTTCACTCAAAACAATTCTTAAAGATGATGATAATAATAACAATGCAAAAATTCTTGCGTTGAACTCTCGTGTTTATATACGCGATGGATAAAGCATCTACAAAAGAAAACTTTTTTTCAACGATAAATACAAGTGTAAACTAGAGGGTGTGGGTGTCGGGGATCTTTTTATTCACACAGGCGCCCACCCTCACACCCTCATGTCTTTAGTATACCATTAGATTGGTGATTGGTGGTGATATTCAGTCTGAAAATATCTCAACTGAGATTCAGGCACTTCTCGTTGACGGCAGTATTCCATTAGTTTATTCAAGAGTTCAGCATCATCTTCATCGATTTCCAAAATAATTTCTTTGAATAGAATTGAATACATGTAGGACGGTTCTAATTGATCGAGATTTCTTTGAGTAGAAATTGTGCCAATCACACTTTGCTGCAAAATGAAGCTCATTGACATTTCGTTGTGGTCGATTTGGCGGATGACTCTCTTCAATCAACCGTAAATACTGTTGATTGAAGTGAAAACACCTTGAATCTTTGACCAATTTTTAATCCATGCTTTGTGTTGTGTTTCACTGTCATAGAGGATATAAATGGTATCTATCTGTGGGAAATCATGGATATCTTCTACGAAAATTTCACCTAACACTCCTTCGATGATAGCAAGAACTTTTTCGATGCTGATGGTGTTAATAAATGGTATACATTCATCAGGTCCATTGAAAGTGTTAACGTCACTGATGACGTCTTGCATTAGTGTGATATTGTTTTGTCACTCTTCTTCAGATTTGTCCATAGTATCATCGATTCAAATTAGTGAATAGCTTTGAGCTACACGTCGCCTTCGCTGGAAGATATTCCGTATTGCAACTGTATCAGAAGTGCCATCCATATTTTATATTTAACTATGTCCGTTGGTTTATGCATTCACGCATAAAAGATTGTGAAATGATTATAGAAATAATGAAGAACTATGTGTACTGTTGGCAGTTCCTTTTTTCTCTTGATTTTTTTCTACATATTGAAATGTAGGTATTCGATTGTTTTGTTAACAATCACTAATAAATCTCACTTACGTTAGTTTTACAATTGAAAATACAGTTGTCAGTAAACGACTGAACGCAACAAAAAAAAAGAGCAATTCAACATTGCCATTTACTGCGTTTTTCATTCGTCTCAACTTTCCTCTGCTTTGCATTTGAACCACGACTTACAAGCGCTATTATATTGGATGCCTCATCTTCCACGGGGTTTGTTTTTCTCCTTCCGACAAGAAAGAAAAAAAGCATAAGGCTTCGTCAGTAAATGCAACATAACGCACCAATTCTGCTTTTCGTCATTAGCTTATTGCTAAAATAGTAACAACAGCTCTTATCCTACCTAATTATCAGAGATTTGTATCTAATGATTATAGCAGTATTGATAAGTGAGTTAGTTGAAGTTGACCTTTATAAATAAATATAGCAAACAATCCGATAATATCTCTAAGTGATCATCTATCAAGGAATAGCAGAGTTTCTGCAAAAGAAAAATACTCTTTCAGCGGTTTAAATAGCTTTATTTTTGGTTTTGTTCTAACTGTACCACACCGACACCCTCTCTACATCAATGCTGATGAGTCATATAACATATTTTTAAAACGATGAAATAAATAAATAAATATATATTATCAGATTAGACCTTATAGGAGTTACTCAAAAACAAAATGACAAAAAGCATACTCTAACTATTACAAAATGACAACAATGATAGAAATTTATTTATGTGTTGGTTCAGTATTTCGTTTGGGTGGTGTATATGTTATGCGTGATCGAAGGTCGAATTCTAAATCTTGACCATCTTTATCTGGATTTTCATCATCTGGATCACCATCATCATCATGATCATGCGTTACATGGAGTGGTAAATCAGGATGAGTTTGAATCGATGCAGATGCAGATATTGAATGATTAAAACGAGGTACAGTTGTAACTACTTGATCAATTGTTGAATGATGATGACCAGAAGAAACTGGGTGAGATTTTTCATCGCCCCATGATTTAAAGTGCATTGGTTCTTCAGGATCCACAGTTGATTCATGTGGCATCTAAAGAAAAATTACAGTAGACCCTACGAATGATGATAAGATTATGCATACTAATTGTGGAACAGCACGAAAAAAATAAAAAAATGGATAATAAACAAGATTTACAACTGTAGAAGCATATATATCTGCGAATCTTGTTATTTGAGAAGCAAAATGAGTTTGACGAGAGCCTATTAGTTTCAATAAAAAAATTTTTTTCATGAATACTCGAATATAATTTACCTGTTCGAAATAGAGAACCCAAAAGACCAAAATTCATATCAAGTTCATGAGTACATTGCTACAATATAAATAACAAATGTATAATATTTCACTTATGGACACGAAAACTATAGATTTTATGTCAATATACGTATCTAAAATCCGGTGATGCTTGCTTTTTTACCTGTATTTTATGTTTGATTTTTGAAACAGCATCCGGCCCTTGATTTGAAGCCATATCAAACGATCGAAGTAATTCACTAATGGATGTATCTAATTCTTCTAGCGTATTAAACAAGTCTCGTTTCTCGTGAAAAACTTTCAATTCATGATTCAACTCAGGTATAACAAGCATAGTTCTCCATGCTTTTTGTTTTTTTGATTTAATTATATCACCAAATATATGATCACCAACATATAAAACATCTTTACCCATCGAACCAATTAATTTCGAAAATACTTCACACGAACCTGGAAGAAATTACGTCGATTATGAAATAATCTCATATTACGAATCTTTTACCTCCACTATAAACTTCATTCTGTTGTAATTGCCCAGAATAGGAACCTAATTTCATACTACCAGTATTCGGATCAATTATTCTCAAAGTTGTCCCTTCGGCAAAAAACAATGGTTTTTGAGCATCAACAACAATATAACTAAAATATGATTTCCAATCACGTTTTTGACCATTATTATCAGATGTTAATAAATAAGTCATTAATTTATCAGTATACCAATATTCGCTATTTGTTAATAAAAATGTTTTTGCACCATGCGAACGAATACTAAAAAGTAGATTTAGTTTTAGTTTAGTCAAGTTTCAAAAAAAATAAAATCTACCGATCTAATAATATTGGCAACTGTTCATCCTTGTGAAAATAATTTTCAATATTTGCACAAACCATTTCTTTGAGTTTACCCTGAAAGGCAAAAAAACTTGTTCTACATTCGAATTTTCAATAAATATTTACTTTATAATGAACACGTTCAACTGAATTGCGAACATCGTTAAAAATTGCACGAAATGAAAGAACATTTTCTCCAAATTCAACACTTGTTCGATCTCTAAAAGAAAGAAAGAAAGAGCTCAATCGAATACTTTCTCAAAGGCCATTCATCTTGCGTACTCAGCATAAGTGGCCACCTTAGAGAAATAATCAATTAAACAAGCCATAAGATAGATTTCTAAATAGAAAATAAATTGATGTTAACGTTTTGCAGCCAGAAAATTCTCTCCTACCTGGAAGATTAAAAAGTGTATAATAAACATAGATACGATCATCAACTTGTATATATTTATTCGGATAAAACTCTCGAACTTCATGTCTAAAAAGAAATCGAAAAGATGAAAATTGATTAAACAAGACATCTTTACCCAGAAAGAAATTTGAAACCATGAACAGCAGTTAGAATATTTCCATGTGTATCTACTTTAAGTAAATTTCCATATAATTTATCATACCACAGACCACTATTCGAAAGAAAATTCGAAAAAGAAAGACTCATGAATATGTTTTAATTTTTACCGTAAAGGAAATGTTCGATCATAAACAAAATCTTGAATTTGCTCAGGATAACCAAGTTCAATTAGTGAGTCAACTACTTCTTGAAATGTTAATTCTTCAAATGCAGGTGATTTATATAAGGCTAATGTATAATCCATATCAAAGCCATAGAATTTTATTCGATCTAATTGTAAACTTCGATTCACAAATATACTAAGAAAAAAATTCAATGAGATCGTTATTTTCTACTTCAAAGGATTTTCTTACCGATGGCCGGGTTCACGTTTTATTTTCACAGCTCGTTTCTACAATATATTGTTATGCTCATATCTTACAAGAGAAAATTTTTTACCCGTAATTCAGCATCAGATGAATACACATCATTTGCATTATCATGTCGCTTCATTTCATCAATGTCCCAATCACTTAGTTCTTCAATCTAAATTGAATGTTAACTATTAATTTCAATACAAAACAAAAAAAAATAGCCTTATTTACTGTATTCATTTTTACAACAACAAAAAACAACCCTGACGACTGGAAGATAAAAAAAACTGATAGAGTGCTGCTTTGTTTTGATGCAATCAGTTTTACAAGCGCTTCATTTTATTGCTATCCGATTTACATATATATATATATATATTCTTTCAGGGGGAATAAATAAACTTGTCGTTTCATATTGCACTCAAATCACAGAAATAAATGTGTGCACAGAGATAAAATAACCTAGTTGATTGGTGTGCCCAGCAGGATTGTGCTAAGAATATTGATTCTCATAAGACTCGATAATTATCTGAATTTATCGTTTGATTGGACTGTCCATGTAGTTTTTATTCTGAGACCTCGATTATCAGTGCTTTTGTTCCAAAAGAAATGTTCGAACGAATGCCAATCATGTCTAATATTCAAACAAGACTCGTCATCATTACAAGCCATACTACAGAATAACTGATTCAATATTCTGTATTAGATTTACAAATACTCTTTTCACTAGTAAGATCTAGTGGAAAGCTTTCAGCAATTCGTCGACATTTACGTTTCTTGACATCAAGAACCACTTCCATGAAGCCTATAGAGAGCGACACAGTCAAGACGTCTCTTTAATTATACGTTTTTCCGCATGAATTATCGCACCAAAGTCATCTGTTAAAATCCATATTATATTATGTAGTCTTCCATTCGATATTGAGCGCTAGTATCGTTGATACAAAATAAACCTAATTTAAAATAATTATTTTGTTTTGTTTTCGAAAGATTTTTAATAAAATAGAAAAAATAATGTTTTACAAATTTTTAAGCCTTTTCTTTTATTCAACCAATCCTATCGTAGTTTTGTAAGCAGTTAACAAAACAGTCGACCATTCGCCGATGTACGAATTACTTAATTTCACTTGTATTGTTTTAGATTTTTGTTAGCATTGATCATGCAGATCTTCGTTAAGGTAAAATTGAATGTTAACTTACTTAAAACTTAACTGAATTATTCATTGTTTATTTCAGACCCTTACGGGCAAAACCATCACTCTCGAAGTATGTTTAAGTGTACATATAAACGAGACAAAGATTTATAATAATCTTTAATATCATAGGTCGAACCATCGGATACCATTGAAAATGTGAAAGCAAAAATTCAAGATAAGGAAGGTATTCCACCCGATCAACAACGATTAATTTTTGCTGGCAAACAACTTGAAGGTAAACATTCGTCTTCACACAAACAAATCAAGATAATCGAATTCTTTTCTTTTTAGATGGCCGTACACTTTCCGATTACAATATTCAAAAAGAAAGTACACTTCATTTGGTTTTACGTAAGTCAAAATTAGTATCAATTCATATAAGAACTCGTTATTTACTTTTCAAAGGACTTCGTGGTGGTACAATTGAACCAACACTTCGTATGCTTGCACAAAAATACAATTGTGATAAAGTCATTTGCCGAAAGTATGAATAGAAAGCGACCTTTTATTTTTAAATACATGTCTTCATTTAGATGTTATGCCCGACTTCATCCGCGTGCTGTCAATTGCCGTAAACGTAAATGTGGTCACACAAGCAATTTACGACCAAAAAAGAAACTTAAATAGACATTTCTTGGTTTTTTTTTGTTATTCAAAAGAAAAAAAAGGCAACATCTTATAAAATAACAAAAGAAGAATAAAAATAAATAAACCGATTTATATTTCGTATTTCAAATGATGGCGTAAACGTAACTTCATTAGCTAAGATTTAGATTCATACATATGTATATTTCAAGAATATAAAACAAACATGGTTTAGAAAAACATTATTTTTGCTCGAATTTCGCAGCTAGGTCTTCTTCGATAACAATATAAAAATAAGTTTGTACACGATCAAGTTTATTTAAATATGCTACTAAATCGCTTTGATAGCCAATTAATTCCGGTTGAGAGAGTTTTGAATCGAAGTTATAATATTTTTCTCCATCAACACTTTTTATAGTTAACCAATGGCGGCCAGGTTTTGCGAATGAACATACGATAGGTATGCTAGAAATAAATGGTCGTTCCACAACTATGTTTAATAATAAACCCAAACAATCTTTGTAACTAAATGTCTCAAAACATTCGGAAATATCAATCGCACGCAATACATATCCTTTGCTGTTTAATGCATCCATTAGAATTCTTAAATCATAATTGCCAGTAAGAAATGTTGAATATTCATTCCAAAAACGTGATTTATCATGCGTGTGTACAAATGAATCAAGCGTTTCTTTACTAAAGACTTTTTTTTGAAAAAGGCTATTTAATGAATGTAAACCACATAATTGTAATCTTTGTTTTTCATGATATAATTTGACTTTTTCATTGGGCATTGTTAATAATATATCGCAAAGGTTCACAATTAAGATAAAAACAAAACAAAATTACTTCATCTAAAAATTTGGATATGTCAATACTATTATTTTAACACATTTTTAGAAGTAATTATATAGATAGTTAATAAAGATACGATGTAATTTAAAATATAAGAAACATACGATCAAACTCGGGCCATTGTTTTATGCATTCTAGCTTTGTTTGCATGGATATTTCCAGTGCAACCTTGGCAATTCTATATGAATGATAAACATCGTCGTTTGACAATAGACTTGTGCGTGGTTTAAATCATGAAATTAAAGATAATTATGAATCAGTAGGACATATTTAATATATCAAGTTTATTTTTTATAAATGTCCTAAAATATGATAGAAAGTTCGATCGAACGAATAACAATTCTCTATGTGCAATTAGATCAACGACTACCGTCATCTATCTCAGTTAACTTTGTTAAGATTAGTTTTCTTTTTCTTTTTTTTTTTACTTAGCGAAGATCTGTGTGAGACGGTGAAGAGAAAGACAGAGAGAGAATGTTTTCTTCACTAGTTCTCATATTTTCTTCCCGTTTTCAGACTGACGAGATCATAGATCTGTAGCAAACTGCTGGCGTGAAGACTTTTCTAGTTTTATTTTCTTCATTTTATCCTGTTTTTCTCCTGTAACTATTTGAGAGTAGTTAAATTCTCTTTAAGATGACAAGTCCGTACATTCTTGAATCCTTCAAACTCAAGTTTGGCTTTTCGCTTCTTCACTGATTACTATAGTACCGCCTAATATTTACTCATTTGCTATTTTTAAGAACACATTAACTGGACGGCTTTTGAAAAGACTTCTAGTTACAATGCTCATCTTTTTATTTTTAACTGGAGTCGTAGACTTGTTTCCATAGTAATCTCGTTAAAGTGAAATCTGATCAGATAGATTCAAAATGACAGTAATAGTATACTATGCAAACCTATCAACAACATATCTGAAGCTGTCGGTAATAATTTTAATAATAATAATAAAACGTTAGGATTTCCGACCTTTGATAGCTTTAACTTACCGCGTCGATTTGTAACGATTCCCTAATGGTTTTGAGTCATACTTTGCATTAAATCAGACACAAAGTCTCTACTTTATAAGAATCCTGTCATTTTCAGAAGTTATCTGCCAGAAAATAAAGAGAGAAAACAAAACTGACTAATGAAATATATTATTTATTTTTCTCTGGCAACTTCTATATATATTTTTTTCTGTATCTCATTATCAATAGAAGATTTTTGCTGTTGTTTTAATGTAGTACTTAGATAGTTAATTAGAAAAATTAGTCAAATATATATTTTTCATGATAAATAGCGTTTGAAAAGTAAATTTTATAGAAAACTTGTTTTTTAGTCAACGTACTATATAAGTTTGCTCTAGACATTTTGCTTTGTTAAATAGAAAATGATACCTTTCAAGAAATCTTTGCCTTTCTAGTGTTAATAATAAAATGAGTCTACTGAAGCAGATTCTTTTGGTTCTATGGAAGAATTTTACTATCCGCCGTCGACGATGGGTATGCTAATAGTTGCGTAACATTTAAAAGAAAACAGTCTCATCTCTCTTTTGTTTTAAGCCTCGAGTTATATTCGAATTGATATGGCCTATTGTATTGTTCCTGATTCTTATGTGGATACGAACAAGGAATTTAACAACATATTATGATGCTTGTAAGTTTATTTGGCGTTTTTTCTCAAAAAATAATATTTCTGCTTCGATGAATTAACAAAAGGTTATAATGAGCCAAAATATCTTGGATCAACTGGATTTTTGCCCGCATTACAAAGTTATATGTGCCAGTGGAATAATACGTGTTATAATCAATCGTCAACAACTGATGAGTTCAATGGCGAATCATCGTTTGTATTTTCTCTTTCATAATAACAATATCTGATTTCATTTTTTTTTGCGATAAAGATTTTGGAGGCGAATTTCTAGTTTCACTGACGGTCTTTCCGCTATTTTAAATGATCAACAAACATCAAGTTATCTAAGTGAAATTTTTTCGGACTTAAATATATCTAATAGTCATGGAGACCTTTGGAATGGTAAAAAGCTATAGAAACGAAATGTTGTTAGATATTTTATTTTTTGTATTCCGAAAAAAGGGACTATTCAAGCAACTCAAGATCAGAATGATTTCAACCAATCAATACCAAATACAATCATAACAGCACTCTTCGAGAATCCAATCAACCTGGCGAATCTTCATCAATCCTGGTTTCTAAATCAAACGCACAATTCATTATCAAATTTAGCTGTAGCAGCACAAATATATTTGGCTTCGATGCAAACAGGACTTGCTTATGTAATTAAGAAAAATTGTATTTAATTTTTTCAATCAATCTTCGTTTGTTTTCAGTCATATCAATCGGATATTGATATTCAACAAGCATTTTGTATTGCTGGAGAATTTAACAGAACGTTTTCAGTTAGTGAAAAACAAATAAATGAAACAAACAATTTTTTATGTTATGATTTGCCTGCAGAGGATTTAAAATCCTTTTTAATTAGTGTACAACAACAACTCGATGAACAATTTTTGGTAAAAAACTGAAAAAGAAATGCATTTTCATTAATTTTCAGTGCTACTTCTAGGCTGATGCACAATCAAACACGGTACAGATGCCTGTTGATGCATCCAAAGTAATTGTTTCTATCAATCGAATCATTTCACATTGACTTATATATTTCAGATTATGCACACAATGAACGAACTTTCTCGTCATTTGAAAACACTAAATGTTAACTTTTCCATGGACATGAACAATATCAACATCAGGTAAGAATTCGAGGAGTCATTGACGTCATATTCTGCTTGAAAAATATGCTGTTTTGTCAAGCACACGCATCGCAGAGAAAACTGCTGTTCTTTTGTTCTGATGTCTTTTGTGTACTCAAAAAAAAAAAGTGAGTACACTATAGCAGAGGTGCGCAAAATACTCGAAGTACTCGTACTCGTACTCGTACTCGTACTCGTACTCAGGGGTTCAGTACACGTGGGGTCAGCACTCGTGCTTGGAAATTTTATTTTTCGAAATTGAGATAAAGCATCTTTTATGACAAGAATATCTCTTTGTATTTTTCAACAAAGTTGGTTGAACAAACAAGCACATCACTAATACCTTTTCTTGTCGATCAGTACAAATATGTTTGAAAATTTCTACAACATATTGTCATGTAGTAATCGCCATAGGGCAGTCTACTTTTTTTCTTCGTTTCATATTAATATATTTAGTCGTTGCAGAGCATTAAGCCCAGGGGTACCACGACAGCGGGAGGATGGAGACATGAGTCACTCTCCAGTATTCGAAAAATTGTCTTGCATTGTGTTTCACAAAATGAAACTTCTACTACATTAAGTTCGATCTGCTAAGCTACTTCCAATGTTGCCAGATGTTAAACTCGAAAATCCGGAATTTAAATCTCAAAATTGGAAAAATTGAGAAAAGAATCCGAAAAATCCAGAAAAAATTCAAAAAAAAAAATCCTCAAAAAAAGTGCAAAAAATTTACGAAAAACTCCAGAAAAAATGGAAAAATCCGGAAAAGCCAAAAAGAACTTTCAGAATCCGAAAGATCTAGCAGCATTGGTTACTCTCCCTACAAAATTTTAGGAAAACAGGATTTTATAAGTTACCCCCCCCCTCCCCTCCATCCCCCAGTATTCAGTTGTTCGCGACACCCCTGATTAAGTGTACATTTTTTACAAACTAGTTTGGAAACTTTTAGTCTTACTGATACAATAATTAGTACTCGTACTCGTACTCGAGAAAGTCCATACTTGCCCAGCTCTGTATTGGACTTTGTATTTAGATTTTTTCTCTGTTGAGATCATTTTATGTTGAAATACTTGTTGACATTTCTTGTTTTTTAACTTCCTATGTAAATATATCAGTCAGTACTCAAAAGATTGATTTTTCGAATCAACAGTAACCTCATTCTGAAAAAGGATGAAAAGATAAATCGAAAACTTCGAGCATTACATACGATCATTCTTAAATAAGTAAAAACCTCGATATATCAATGATTTAGAAAGGGCAGTTCTTATCCGATAGTTTCTCTTTCTGCTTGAGTCGAGTCATCCTTAAATATATGTGATAAGATTCGATGAAATACATTTTGATAATAATTCATAATTGTCTCCGTTTCTTTTTGTCACTGTGTATGTTATTTTAGTTGTTGTTTTTTTTGTAGACAAGTATCAACTTTTGATGGTCATATACTACATCATAAGGTGGTGCTGTTTTCTCCTCTCTTTTCTGTTATCTTCTCGATTGGTTATATTACGGATTAGCTATTTTTCTAAACGAATAGATTTTGTTTTTGGTATCTGATCATTTTTTCGTGAATTCACTTTTCAATCAAACTACTAATTTATCGATAGTTGATATGCTTTTAAATAGACATTTGAGATCAATTTATGTTGATATAAAATATGGAATTCCTATTGTCAGATCATATTGTAATTTGGGTATTAATATGAAAAAATTAAATGATAGAAAAGAATTCAAACAAGCACTTGAGTTATTTCATAAATATGAACATAAAAATAGTGAAATAATATCAGATGTGGCCATCAATCAAGCATTAAAATCGTTTACTAACATGGAAGATTTTCAAGGTGGTTCAGATATTTATCAACGATACTTATGTCGCATAGAAAAGAATTGTTTTACATTAGCATCAATTATTCATTTCTATAGTTAGTAACAATCAAGTTTAGTTTGTATATATCGATTCTTGTATTTAGTGCAATCTGGGAATGTTAATCGTGCTCAAGAAATATTTAATAAATCAAAGCAGAAAACAATGGGAATTTATGGAGCAATGATGAAAGGTAAAATTATTTTGAAAATTTAATAAGATTTTATGTTTTATAGTTTAAAATAGGTTTAATAAAAAATGATATGTTAAATGAAACAGTTCATCTTTTCTTTCAAATTCCAAATCCGGATGAAATTATTTTTGTACTTTTTTTTCATGCTTGCGCTCGAATAGGAACAGAAGAAGCTTTACGTTTGGCCAAGAAAGTTCTATCAAACCTTCCGAATTCTTATCGTGAAAATTCAAATATTCTGACAACTGCTTTTGACGCATTTATTAAATGTGGTGATTTATTATTTGCTGAAAAGCTCTTACCTAAGATTAAAAAGATTTCAATGAGTTATGGAAATTTAATGAAGGCTTATAATAAAAATAATCAACCAGAAAAAACTTTAGATTTATATGAACAAATGAAATTCGATAAAATTGAACCAGATGTAATATGTTATCTTCTATTAGTAAATGCTTGTTCTAATATTGGAATTCTTTCAATATGCCAATCAATATTTGAACAAATTCCAAAGTCTTTCCTTGATAATTCTTATATTAAAAATGCATTAGTTGATATGTGGGTAAGAATATGAACAAATCAATTTGTTTTTCGTTGTTTTTATTTAAAAAGAAATAAAATAGGGAAAATCAAGTTGTATAGATAGAGCGGAAAATATATTTCAATCATTAATTCAACCAGATACAATTGGATATACATCAATGAGTGAATAAAGCATTACTTTGTTTGTTTTTATGGTAAATTGATTATATTTTATATCTTTATTAGTTAATTCTTATGGATTAAATGGAATGGGTATTCAAGCAATTGAACTGTTTAATCAAATGCCACGAAAATTAATTTTAGAAGAAACTTATGTTTGTGTTTTAAATGCATGCTCACATTCAGGACTTATTGATCAAGCCCGTTCAATATTTTCTAATATCACTAATAAAACCGAGAAAATTTATGCTACTATGGTCAATTGAAAATATTTCGTTGTTGATTTTTCTTTCCTATGATCTTTATTTTTGTTTTTAGGTCGATTGTCTTAGTCGTTCATTTCTTTTTGAAGAAGCACAGGAATTGATTGACAATTATGAATCTTATCACTCACCTTCACCAACGATGCTTAGTAAGATATCTCTCTCTCTCTTTCTGCAAAAGAAAAAAATCTATTTATAATGTAGAAATAAATAGAAGACACCAGAGCATCAACCAGGCCACTAGGCCTGCCTGCCTGCCTGGGCCTGTCTGCCTGTCACAGGCACAGGCCACATTTTTTAGGCCTGGCCTGTCACAGGTAGGCCAGGCCAGGCAGGCCGCTTAAAAACACCAGGCCGCCTGGCCTGTCTATATTCCTCATAAATATAGTTTTTTTTTAATATAATTTTTTTTTAACAAATTAAACGTAACGCTAGTGATCGGCAGAAGTATAGAATAATGTTCTGTCTTCATTGTGATTGATCGAGGTGATGACTAATGTTCAGCTCAAATCGCATAGTTCCTCTTCTTTATCTATTCACTTTTCATGTTCTCATTTATCTATATTTTATTATTATTGATTGTTGTTAAGATCTTTCTGATCGATTATTGTTTAGATCAGGGGTGGCACTTTAACTTTACTTTAAAAATTAAAGTNCAGGCAGGCAGGCCAGGCCAAACAAATTAGTTGACAGGCACAGGCCGGCTTGAAATTCAAAGGCCTGTCACGGACCGGCCAGGCCTACAAAAACACGGCCTGGTTGATGCTCTGGAAGACACCGTTGATACAAATATTGCTTGTCGATTGTCGAGTAAAAACAACTATATTCTGAAAGAACTATCATTTGATGTATTTTATATTAGTTTAGAAAAGATAAAGATTTAATGAATGTTTCCAAAGTTCAAAAAACGAAAGATTGTTCTGATGAAAATTTTTCATTTAACGTTTTCTTCTTCTTTTAGCGGCATTGTTATCCAGTGCTCGAAATAGAAGAGATCGTCATTTATCAGAAAAGATCTTCAATCGTATTCAAGAAAATTTTCCTGAACTTAAAAATCGATTAATATCGGCTTCAATTCTACTTTCTAACGTTTATGCATCGACAGGTGATGTAGACAAGTCATCCAATATAAAAAATAACTTGTATCAACTTGGTCTAAAGAAAAAAATTGGTCTATCTTGGACTGCAATCAATGGTCGATTGTTTGTAGGTCATTTCATATGTTGATATTAGTCAATAATTTGTGTTCGTTAGAAATTCCGAGCTCATGATCAATCTCATCCTCAATCATCAAAAATTTATGCTGAAGTTGAAAAAATATCGCAGGAGCTTATTGAATATGGCCATCAATACGATTCAAGTTGGATTACGCGACCATTGGAGCAAGATGAAACAGTTGCATCAGTACTTTGTGGACACAGTGAAAGACTTGCAATAGCGTGGAATTTTGTTGTTAATCCTAATACCACAAAAATTCAAATAACAAAAAATCTTCGTATTTGTGGTGATTGTCGTATGTGTATATTTTCTCTTCTTTTATATTTTCATTTCATTTTCTATTTTTCATAGATCAAGCAACAAAACTAATAGCATCTATTCGTCAATGTGAAATTATTGTTCGAGATACAAATCGAATTCATCATTTTTGTAAAAATGGGCAATGCTCATGTAACGATTATTTCTAAAAGAAAAGAAGTAAAACTTTTGCCTTTCGAGTTACGTATATTTTATTGCACTTTGAAAGAGCTTGATGAAATCTTTTCGTTGTATGTAATAATAGTAAAACTTGTCTTCTACTGTGAAAGAAGTATGTGATTGTCATATGCAAGGTGTCAACAAGGAAAGGGAGAATATCAACGGTTGCGTTCAACACGATTTTTAGAGATCTTTTATTCTTATCGAGATTTTAATCTTTTCATTCTTTTTAACTTAGTTTTGTATAGAAAACGATTTCTTTTTTTTTATTAACTAAGTCAATTGCATTTCATTCATTTATTTATTTATTTATACTGTTCAAAACGCTGTACACACAAGAACTAGTTGAAAGCTATGCAAATGAATACAAAACAAAAACAAACACGCCATTTTCAATAATATACACAAAACAAAAGTTATACATAGAATAAAAAGCAATCTTAAATAATTATATCTAAATATTTATGTATTAAAATGAAATTTAAAAACAGAGAAATTCTATTTCAATTGTTCTCACCAAATAGATTCGTAAAAATATATCAAATGATTGATAGTTTTTGTTTATGTAATGCATCAAGCAGTTGTTAATAATTTAAATGATCTGTTCGTGATATTGTTGATCAAGCTAAAGTAACAAAAAAAGAACCAAAAAGAAAACAATTTCACAAGAAATAGAAATTGAATTTTTCGTCACACAACGAAATGAAGTTTATAAACGGATAATAATTAATTAAATTCTATTAAGCTACACAAGTTCATTAGGTTCAAATGAATCTTGAAAAGTCATTTGTATTATTTCATAAGACGTTTTACGTTGACGAGAAATCGATTTGAACAATTTTACCTTGTAAATAATTATCTGTTGGCTTCTAATGAGTTGATTTACGTGCATCATCATTATATAAATTCAACGTATTCTTTACGATAATTGATCATCAATATAAGAAAAGTAACGTTGATTTTCGTGATATAAGTGCGTAGTACGGCGATCTGTAGTTTTGTGTGACTCTAGTTTCACAATATTTCGTTTATTGAACATACTCAGAATAAACATGACAACTTCTCAGCGAAAGCATCACAAACGTTTTTCAAATTACGTTTCGCTAAATATCAATCCACAATAAATTTAGAAAAAACAACAGTTTTAACTAGACATCAATTTTGAAGTTAACAAAATGTCTTGATGTTTTTCTATAAAATGATTTGATAAATGATAGAAACAATTATGAAACATTATCCTTGTTAGTCGTGGTGTAACCAGGATAGGACATGGTTGCGCGTCGTCCAACCACCGTGACTGTTCGCTCAACCATCGGTCATTTTCAAAAACGTTTTCATTTTAAAAGAAACATTGTGCATCATCACTAAAGATAGCCCTTTTGAAAAAAATCACTAGGGCACCGTCCTGCCACTCGAAAAATTCTGGTTAAGTCATTATTTGTCTAATAGTTTTATATAATTCAAGTGATATTGTATTTTTGTAGTGAAAATTAAGATTTCCACCAGCGACGTATTTAAGATTTTTGAGAGACGGAGAAGGATGAGGTTAATGTGTATTTTTCTGCTTATAATCGATGACAACGACGACGGAATGATTTCAATCTAAGGGAGACTGAAATTTTTTTTCGGAGGATGAGGATGATGAGAGGCGAAATTGAAAACAAAAAACATCCAGTACTAATAAGGTGGTCTATTGATAATTTACTTCTGATTCTACTTTTCTCAAAACCTGTAAAATAATGAAAAATATTACTGTAATATTTTTTGTTCAGAGGGTGTGGGTGTGATTTTGTCTTATTCTACACCCACATCCTCATGGTCGTTGCCAACTTATAACTTACATTCATTTAACAACATTAATGTTATTTCAAAATTTTGAGAGAGTGAGGGAATTGATCCCGCTCTGAATATATTCTTGTATTGCAGTCGATAGAAAATTGAGTGGCACATCTAACAAGACTAATGTGACTTCTAAGTAATACTACCGAGTCAATTTATTATCAAGATATTGCACAATATCGAAGTCTTCTGTTCTGACGACAAGAATTCTGGCACTTACTACGGTAAAAATGACCGAATGGCTTTGAGATTGCTACCAAAAGCTTCAGTGTGAAATTCTACATCGAAACATACTCAACTTTGAATAATCTAATATATTAGGATATTGTCGACTTTATCCACCTACCGTCGTTTTATTTGATATTATAAAATCATATAAACGATTGTTTTCAAGTAGTTTGATCAGTTACAAGTGAGCTCATAATAAAAGAATTAAGATTTATTATCTTGAACAATAAAAACAAAAGAAAAAAAATTCTTCTATAAAATATAAAATATGAAATCGTCTTTTTCTTTTGTTTTAACAAAAGAAACATAATTGTTAAACAATGACTCAAAATTATCAACGCATACATGTTCAAAGTAGCCGAAAAAAATCTACAACATTTCCAATATTTGTTTATGGGCCATTCCGCGTAAGCCACGACCGACCCTACTCAATCGATGGAAACCAATTCGACTTGTTTCTGCATACGTTTGTAGGGGCAATGGTTTGATGAATTTCTGCGCAAGCCGTTTCAAAAAATATTGTTCCCTTCCCGAGATATTCGATTTTTTCTGAGAGCACTCTCCTAAAAAAATGACATTTTTACAACTTTTTCTAATATCAATATCTCTTCAAAAGTTCTTTCATTTAAGTTGAAATATTTGGTGTCAGCCTAGCTCTAGTGGATATATATTTCCCAAAAGAAACGAACTCAAATGCTTGAATTGTGAAAGAGTTGACTGCAACAACAAAATTCATGAAAAATTTATCACTTTTTGCGATTTTATGCGTGTACCTATCGGCTTGAACGAATCATATAAGACAACTGAAATTTAGGCTGCAATGAGATCTTGATAAGTACTTAGCCTGATAGAAGTTTCAGCCCCGTGGCTAACTTCTAAGGCGAAGGTGACTCTCGTCAAAAATGCGATTTTCATCAAAATGACTATTTATGGGGAGAGCTATCTAGAGCAAAATCAGGTCTCTAGAAGTTCTGTCTTTATGGTTTCAAACTGCACACATAGTACTACAAAGTCCTGAAAATTTTAGGATCGGACAAAATATATTGCCGTTGAGAGCCTTATCTGAAGTTGAGTAAAAGAGCTGTATATTTTAAGCAAAATTCTTTCAGATTTGTTCCTGAATAAATAACAACGACATGACATAGTAGAAAGGATCTTACTATCTACTATATATGACCACACAATCCTTTACTCATTGAGGTATAAAGATCCTTTGAAAGTGAGGAAAAAAATATTTCGGTAAAAACCATGAAGGAGAGTACAGCATTAGTTTCACTATCGAAATCCCTGTACTCTCCTCCATGGTTTTTACCGAAATATTTTTTTCCTCACTTTCAAAGGATCTTTATATCTCAATGAGTAGAGGATTGTGTGCTCATATATAGTAGATAGTAAGTTCCTTTCTATTATGTCATGTTGTTGTTGTTTATTCAGGAACAAATCTGAAAGAATTTTGCTAAAAATATACAGTTCTTTTACTCAACTTCAGATAAGGTTCCCTGGACCATAGGAGCTAATTGAAGAGCTGAATGTTTTATCAGAGTTAGTACTTGATAAGATCTCCCAGTGGAAAAAATTTCAGTTCTCTTATATTATTCGTTCAAGCCGATAGGTACACGCACAAAATCACAAAAAATTAGAAATTTTCCTCGATTTTGTTATCCCGACCAACTCACAGATGACTCATCTATTTGAGTTTGTTTCTTTTAAGAAAAATAGATAAAACTAAGATCGACTTATACTAGAAAATTCAACCAAAACAGATGTACTCATGAATAGATATGAATATTACAAAAAATCTAAAAAAATGGCATATTTTTAGGAGGGTGCTCTCAGGGAAAATTGAATATCTCGGGAACGAAACAATATTTTTTGAAACGGCTTGCGCATAAACTCATCAGACTCTTGTCCCTATGAACCTATATATAAAGAAGTCAAATCGGTTTCCATCGATTGAGCAGCTCCTACATGAATAAATCGTGGCTTACGCGGAATGGCTCATATGAAATAATTATATCGAATTTATCAATATTAACATGGCGTGGTTTTTATCATTTTCTTGACATTTTTTTTATTCTGATAATTTAGCAATGTCAGCTGGGCTTTGTTTATAAATTGGTTATTTTCTTTGTTTTTCATTAATGTATTTTCAAACATATTTAGAAGAATTAAATTAAAAATATGATTTTTGGACATTTATATCAATGAATTTTCCTCAATTTTATCAAAATATTCGTCATTTATTAGCATTTTTTTCATGTGTATTTGTTTGGGGTGGTTATTGGTTTCTCTATGATGAATATTTATATATATTTGAAGGTTATTATAAAACATATTTATTATTTTATTTAATATCATTTTTTTTTCTAAGTTTAATTCAAACATCATCATCAATCAATGGTCCATTAAGCAATATTGATGATAAGAATCAATTTTTTCCACTTTATCCATATTGTTGTTTCAATAGTTCAAAGAAACATTTCTCAATGTAAAATTTTTAAGCAAAAAAATCAAGAAACTTAAAAAAGGATACCTTGTTCATTTTCTCTTTTAATTCATAAATAAAATATAAATCTTGATAAAGAATATTTTTTTTGTTTTTTGCAGGAATAGATAACAATCTTTCTTTATTTTAGTTTATTTAAAACGAAAATGATAATCTATGGGAGGCAGAGAGAACAAGAAGAAAAAAATGTCTTTATGAAAAAAAAAATGTTGAAGTTAGTTATCTTGTTGAATAAGTAGTGAGTTTATTTTTTGAATTTTTCCATCTGATGAAAAAGTATATATTGTTTCATATTGATGATTGTTATAAACAATTGTAGCTTTTAATGTATGATTATGTTCATCTTGATCATCAAATTTAAGAATTTTATAATTAATAGATGGATGAGCCTCATGTTCCATTGAATAATATTCTCGAGCTTCTTTTATATTATTATAAACAACTTTATGATTTTCAATTTTTTCAACATTTTCTGCGAGAACTTCATTAAGATGATTTACATGACGAGCATTCACTGCTGAAGTAAATTTTTCAATTGTTGCTTTATGCGCTTGGGACATTTTTTCAATGAATTGTTTTGAAAATAAAATCTAAAGATTAAAACAGTCTTAATTATTTACCTTTTCAAAATTTTAAATAAAACCTAAGACGAATGAGGAGATGTAGACTACTTTCTTCTAGTTAGTTGATATTATCAGTAACTGTGCTTTGACCTAATCCTTTCTCTTATATACCATTCTCTCTCTCTCTCTCTCTCTCTCTCTCTCTCTCTCTCTGTTTCTTTCTTTCTAGATTTTCTTTTTCGTCTACGTTGCGTTTGTTCATTGGTAAAAATGTCGATGACTCATCATGTAAAGCTACTAGAATGATCTCTATGTAAAATGTATATTCTTTTCAATAAGTTCATCTTTTCTGAACATTGATATATTCCTTTAAATTTAATGAATTAAGATCTTTCTTTTTATAGTTAATAGAAATAAATATATTGATTATTGAGAAAATCATTCAAAATGTTTCGGTTTTGTACTATTAATTCTACTATAATGATTCTGCAATAAGTAAAGGTTAAGATCATGCAGTAGAAATAAATCGGGGTCATCCAGTAGAAATAAATCGAGGTCAGTTTTTTCTATCTTTATTCTAGAAAAAGAAAAAAAAGAACGTATTTTTATTTAATTCAAATATTAAATAATATTAGAAGCATTGTTAATCGAAGATTTCTGAATAGATTGTTTTTCAGCTTCAAGTCTTAAATAAGGCCCTTTATAAATAAATAATGTTAATGAACTGACAATGAACGAACAAAGAATAAATATTGTAGATGGCCGAAATATATGCTGATGTTTATATTGAGAATCTAATTTAATAAGATATCCAATAAAAAAGATGAATACTCCTCCAATTATATTGCCAAAACACATTAATAAACCTGTTGACCATTCTGGTCGAATTGGATATGTTGATTCAAGTGCACATTCAAATGAAACGGGTAATAATGGTAATAAAAAGAAGCCCATTAAACCAATTGATGCAGCTAATGGATACAATTTATTTGGTTGAAGAATTAAAATAAAGAATATTCCCGATCCACAAGCACCAATTAATAAAACTTTCAATATTAAACGATATGAATGAGTTTTATCCATGATAAATCCAGCTAAAAATGCATTTAAAAGACCAGCAACAATAATAATAGCACCAAAGATTCCAGCATTTTCACTTGAATAACCTTGTGGTTCAATTAATTGTTCAAGTAATGTTGTTATGGCATTAAATAGAGCTAAACCAATACTAAAACCAAATAAAAGTATTAAATATTGACGATTTTTCATTAGATTTATAAAATCTTCTTTGAAATTAATTGCTTGATGATGTTCTTCAGATGATGATGGAGGTGTAGGTGGCTCAGAACGGAATATAATAATTATTAAAAGTGTTGCGAATAAAACCAATATGGATTCACTCATTAAAAGAATAAAAAATTCTCTTGCTGATGGATTTGTTGTTATTATTAGTGATGGAACAAGGGAACCAATTGCTAAACCTTTTATTTAGGATTAAAAAAATATATTATTTTCTTTCTTTTTTTTATTTATTTACAAAATTTTACCTAATGGATTAGCCATTGAACAAATCGATGTTGCTATATCACGTTGAGAAGGTGAAAACCAACGAGAAGCAAATAATGCTGTAGAATTTAAAAAGAAAGGTGCTGCAATTGCTGGAAATATTTGTCCAATAATTAATGATATATAAGGGTTTAATCGAGTGCTTAATGATAATAAACGAATAAATACTCCTAGATTTAAAATGCTGCCTATAATAATTGTTGAACGCATTGATAATCCTCTTGATAACCATATTGATAAAATTGTGCCAAATGGATAAAGAAATAAAAATACAATTGCTAATGAATTAACTTCTGCTGATGTTATCTTATAAAATTTAGACGTTTCAGATTCAATAGGAGCAAACGTTATACTTGTTATGGCGTTTGAAAATGTTGCCAATACAAAAACAATTAATTGAATCCATCGTATTCGATATGCACGATAATGTGTTACTTCTATTGCATCCATTTTTTTTTACTTATATGTAATATTTTTTACTATCTTGTTATTCTATTTCATTAATACTATCTTTATCAAAAAATCTTATCTTACTTTCTGTGTTTTTCTCAGCATATATTTTCATATAAGTCAACAGAAAAATTGGGTAGCTTTGTTTAACTAATTTTTTCTACATTATTTCAAGAAAAATATGATTGAATGAATTCACATTATTAGAATATTTACAAAAACTAACAATATGAATAGATAAATGATGAAAATATTTAACAAAAATTTTTACTTATTTTTTTCCCAGCAGTGTCCAAGGACTAAGAAATAGGAATTCCTAATGTGCCGAGGAATTATCTGTGTCACTGTGATAATTCTTAGAAGAAATGGGAATCAACTATCAGTTCCCTCACAGTTCCACTATTCACGAAAGTCGCGATATTGCATCAAATTATTGATTCTCCCAACTTTGCAAGTGAAAATGAATGTTAGAACAAAAATTATCGTGAATATTCCATACTTTTACCTTTAGTATGCAAGGAACTGTAGGGGAACTGATGAGGGATTCCTAATCCTCAGCTCTTGGACACCCCTCGGATGAAAACAGGTTTGCATTGAAAATTTTTGCAAATTCAAACTATTTATTTTATATTTAAAAATTTAGAATCATTTATCCATCGAAATGTAATGTTAAAACCTACTCTAAACTCAACATACTCAAATAGCAATGATCGACATCAACCGATGTGGTCTGAAACAGAAATTGATTTTACCATTGAAAACTATACAAATAAAAATCGATCAACTAGTTTTACATCAGGTATTTGG